CCTACTGGCGGATGGGGCACTTACGGCGAAGGGCGGGGAGCCTTGCGAGAGGAACAAAGGGGGGGAACGAAAGAAACAGAGGAGTCATAACCTCCTATTGTTCCCCTCGGTCGCCCTCCGCGCCTTCCAGCCCCTGCGCCGCTTTCCGCTAACGTTCAACAGCCTCGCGACCCTTGGGACACCATCGACTGGGGCAATGAGCCCTCAACCAAACGTCGCACAATCTTCGGACCTGACCCTGAACCGCGAGGACCCACTCTCATCCCCGGAACAATCCCTGGAACCAGCACTCCCCTCTCCGTAATTCTCGACAGGTTCTTGCGCTGATACTGACGGCGGCGAATGAAGAAGTAGTAGAAGACAAGACGGCATCGAAACCCCCTACAGTACCTGAAGAAGACCTCGAAGTGGTGCGCACGCGCTACATGCGTACCTCCGCACGCCGCGCAAGCAACGACCTATGGCATCAGCGCCTCGGTCACCCTTCACGCATCACGCTCAACAACAACATCGAGGCATGAGAATTCGCGCTCCGGTTACGACCAATGACACCCGTGTTGTTTTCCCTGAAGATGGTCTTCCACCTCACAATGGTGCCAGTGTAACGTTGGGGGCAGCACCACCTGCCCTAACGGCCAAAAGGGGTCCAACAAACCAGCTGTTTACCATTACAGTCAAGGAAAAGAGCAGTTATCGTGGCGATACTTAACTGGTTCTTCCACTTTGCTTCCCTGCTTGGGTTGCCCTCTAAATCTTGTTCTTTTTTGCTCTTTGTTCTCTATTATTTGGTTCTATGCTATTTGGCCTCGATTACTCCGTTCTCTCCACCATTTGCCGTCTATTGTTGGGTTCTGTCTCCTCTTTGCCGTCTATTGCTAGGTTCTCTCTGCTCTTTGCCGTCCATTGTTGGGTTCTCTCTGCTCTTTGGCGTCAATTGCTGGGTTCTTTCTACTCTTTGCCGTCTATTGCTTGGTTCTCTCTGCCCTTTGCCGTTTATTGCTTGGTTCTCTCTTCCCTTTGCCGTCTATTGCTGGGTTCTCTTTGGCATGAGTTGCCTGCCTTTCTCTTTTCTTTAGCTTATGTTGCCTGGTTATCACTGTTATGATATTTGGCCCATGCTGGCTATCACTATCTATGTTTTATGGCACAAGAAACAAAATGTTTTGTTAATTATGTAGTTTGTTGTTGCTTGTTTTGGCTGACTGCTCAAAAGAAAACAGTTCTTTAATGCCACTTGCTATAAATGCTGGCTGATTTAGGTGTGCTAATACCAGCTGCTAGATATGGAAAAGTACCAATAAGTTGCTTCACAAATTTAAATGCCGCACTTTTATATTTTTTTTCGCTTGGGAGTAATATATTTTGTAGAGAAAATATTTAGTGGTATGAGTGCTACTAAGAATATGAAATAAATATGGACTGTTACGAGCAGTCTTGTTCAATTTGACCAGAATTGGTTTCTATCAAAATTTATATAACACAATACAATTTGATGAGTAGATCTGTGTTAATTACACGAGATGGTTACTCCTTGCGCATATCAGACTATACCAAACTTTTCTGTACTGAGTGATTGCATCGAATGCATTCCAAATTCAAATTTCTCCCTCGCCGCCTTATCGCCAACCTCATGGGATGTGGTTGCTCGAAGATTTTCCGGAAGGATGCTGTCAGTGGTAGAGGAAAGCTAACCGATGTGCACCACGTGTGCATCAATCAATCTGACATGAAATTGTGTCAGGGGCACAGTTGGGTTGAGTTTGGGTATCCCGGATAATATGCATTACAGTCGGAAATTTTAGAAACATTATGTCGCTTGTCCGTTTTGTGATGCCGACGGTAGCCAAAAGGAGTCTACACTTCATATTGACTGTGTCCAAAATATTACGGCGGATCCTTTTCCTTCACACCTGCTGCAGAAGTCTCCCGCGCGAAACATTCAAAAACTGCGCTTCGTCCGGATAGACCCCAGCACAGTTTAGCGGCTGCTATGCACTCCATCCCGGTGGCGAAAGTCGTCTGATCCCGGTAGGCTCGAGTTACGCTTTTGTCATTTTCTCGCGAAAACTTTGCGGCGACCTGTGTGGCGGGCGGAGACCAGCGGAAGCCTCTGTTTTGGCGACTCCCTCTCGCCTGTCGTCGCCTCCCTCCAGCAAGTGCATGCAGTTTCTCCGAACCCAAGTCAACCCTGCGAGCGACATTCCTAAGGCCATCCCAGTCACCTCTGCCAAGTTCGAGTTGCTTGATTCATTTCACTGATTTTCTCTAGTCAGCGTTAGCTCTAGTCAGCCATGGCTTTCACAGCTCGCCATGGCTGCTGTCGAAATTCCTCAGAGATGTAGTTTATTACGCTTATATCATATTATTCAGAAGATTTATGACAGTAATAGCTTATCTCGATAAGTATGTCCCAGTGAGAACTGGTAGTCAGCCGTCAGCATATACCGTCTGATAGGCTGAACGTTAAAACCCGTGGGCCAAGAAGACCAAAATTGGTTCATCCTTCCTAGTGTTGGTTGGATGTCCCAAAAACGCCTGTGATTTTCCCGAGTTCCAAGACCTCCCCCAACATTTTCGACAGTCGCGGGCAAATCCCGTCCTCACTCCCAACCAACCTTCCTATGCTTGAATTACTTGGCCTGCGGGTTTTAACTGCTTGCCTCTTAGCTTTTAACCGCGGTTCTTATAGTTCGTAACCTCCTAGAAACTCCACCGTTTTAGTTTCCGGGAACGCTACTTACGTTAAATTTCAGCATCTAGATTCTGATAAGCTGGAGTATTAACCGATATTTTTCAACTCATCGACATGATCCCTGACGAGTCTTTCCTGACAAGGGTTCCACCGCTCTAGTTGAAGGCTATCTCGCTTCCGTTCCGTCGTAAGCGTCGTTCCGGAATAACATCCAACTACTCGCCGATGGCTGTGGTCGCCGATAGCCGAGCGTTGAGTCAAGCCACCTGAACCTTGCATAATACATGAAGCAGCGCCGTCGGCGATCAAAGTTTACCACAATAAGCGGTATCAAGATTTACATACGAGCCGCTTCTGCTAGCATCTTCAGGCATCACCGGAAGCACTTCAGTCTTCTGACATCATTTGCCAACAGACGGTTTTCACGTCAGAACGGCGCCGTAATGGTCTACGCCGAGTATCGTCGTCAGCAACAAGAGAAGCACTTGGGGACGACGGAAGCAGATGTTTGCGATAGGTCGTTTTTACTGATGTCGGACTTGCTGGCGGAACTCGAATCTCTGCAATGATAGCATCTGCTCATCTCTAAAGCTAACTGTGCCTGCATATAGTGATATACTGACAAGCGATTCACGGCGCTCTTCGAGAATGGTTCGACCAGTGAATTTCAAGTATCACGGCGACCGGCATCCGGCGTCACGGCGACACACTGACTCACGACGTGACAGAGACAGAGACTAGTGGGTTGATACTCGGCGGAGTCCGAGCAACGGGGTGCAACGGCGTCGTCGGTGTTGACCTGACGGAGCGGCGAAAGACGAGCGGACGAGCAATGATAGCGGCGATTGGCGATACGGCGAGCAGCGAATGGCGAACGGCTAGCGACGAACAGTGAGCGGCTGGCAACGTGCGGCGATCGTCTAGTAGCGGATTTTGAACCAAGAGCAACCATGCGGATGATGGCGACCAACCGCGAACGACGTTCCGCATGCGACGTTCCGCTTGCGACGTTCCGCGTGCGACGTTCTGCGTGCGACGTTCCGCGTGCGACGTTCTGCGTGCGACGTTTTGCGGATTTGATGGCGACATACTTCATGCGGCGATGTCCTGATGATGGCGACTTCCGCATGCGACCGTGTCCGGAGACGGTGACAAACTGCGTGCGACCTTCCGTGTGCGACGTTGTGCGGATGTTGGCGACATACTGCATGCGACGATGTGCGGAAGATGGCGACGAGCCGCGTGCGACGTTCCTTGTGCGACGATGTGCGGACAATGACGACTTACCGCGATTGACCGTGTGCTGAAGACGGCGGCCAACCGCGTGCGACGGTGTGCGGAAGATGGCGACTTTAACGAGTGCGACGTTCCGCATGCGGCGCCGTGCAGATGCTGGCGACATGGCGCATGCGACGATGTGCGACAAACGGCAGGCGACGAACCGCGTGCGACGGGTGCGGATGATGGCGATTTACCGCGTGCGACGTTCAGGGTGCCGGCGTCGTGCGGATCCTGGCGACATGGCGCATGCGACGATGTGCGAAGAACCCCGTGCGACATTTCCCGTGCGACGGTGTGCGGATGATGGCGAATTTCGACGCGCGACTGTGTGCGGAAGCTGGCGATTTACCGCGCGCGACCATGTACGGAAGATGGCGATCACCTGCGTGCGACCTTCTGCGTGCGACGGTGTGCGGATGCTGGCGACTTACCGCGTGCGACGATGTGCGACGAACGGCGACTAATTGCGTGCGAGGGCGCGCGATGATGTGCGAATGATCAGCATCAACACTCACCTGAGCTAAGTCTCCTCTCCGCACTCCTCTCTTCAATCCTCCCTCACTGTCCCCATCCGTCGTTTTTACTGGTGGTGTGGCTTAGGGTCGCAGTGCATTCATACCATGGGTGTGAGTGACAGTTCCCCCTCGCTGCGCTAGCTCGCTTCCCAATCGTGCCTCTGGTCCACTGTCGCCATGCGCCTTCCCCATCCCACCCCTCCCCACCCATTCACTTGTCGCTCCGTTGTATTGTGCTCACACTCTTCTCTCTTGATCGCCGCGAGTTGCTTTCTTGATTTCGCCCGCTCTTGCTCTCTGCCGTGCTCTCTGCCCTCTTGCTCTCTGCCACTTGTTCTTGCTCTCACTGCCAATCTGTCTCTGCCATTCTGTCTCTGCCTTATTGCTCCTCGTGCAGAGCCAGCAGAGGGCGGCTGTGGGATGACGCACGGCTGCCCGCCCTGCTGACCACTGCTCGCCTCTCAGGGAGCAGGGGAGCATGCGCAAGAGCAAGGAGGCAAGGGGAGCGCGCAATGGGAGAGCGCCAGGGGAGCGCGCAAGGGGAGCGCGCAAGGGGAGCAAGGAGGCAAGGGGAGCACGCCTGCATGCTCCTTCGACCCTCTTCAATCCGGCTAAGCTATCCCACTGAATTCACACTCTGCACGCACTCACCCACTCACTCGCTCGCACTCGTGCCTTCCACTGCTTGCTTGCGCTCGCTCCCTCCTCCTCCTCTCGCCGCTCTCCCGGGCGGCACCAAGGGACCCTCCCCAGGTGTGTGACAGCAGGCGACTGCCAGCGTAAGTGGTAACGTCAGGTGTGCTAAGGTACGGTACTGTCCTTGGTGCCCGCCCTGCAGCTGCCACCGCCGCCGCCGCTGCCACCGCCACTCACGCCACGTACGCACTCTCACTGCTTGCGTCCTTCCAATTTTCCTTGCTTGCATGCTTTCCGTTTTTCTGTTCTCTGACTTGCTAACGCCATGCTAATCGCCTTCCCTCTCACCTCCCTTCTCTGCTCCGTGCACTTGTTCCCCTCTTCGCCTCTCCTCCTGCCAGCTTCCCTCTGCCTACACCCCTCTGCCAGCACACCTACAGGCCGGCAGCAGCAGAAGGCATGGAGGAGCAGTGGGAGCAGCGTGGCGAGCGGGAGAGGCGAGTGGTGGGATGACGCACGGCCTGGGCTGGCCCTGCTGACCACTGCGCTCGCCCAACCTCCCGGCAGCACCAGCGCTACCGACCGTGGCGACTCTGAGTGGCGCTGCGGCAGCAGGGGGAGTGTGGCGGCAAGGAGAGGCGCATGGCCGTGTGGGTGCTGCACGCAAGCAAGGGGAGCACGCCTGCATGCTCCTTCGACCCTCTTCAATCCGGCTAAGCTATCTCACTGAATTCGCACTGTGTTGTGCACGCACCACTCACTCACTCGCTCGCACTCGTGCCTTGCGCTGCTTGCTTGCGCTCGCTCCCTCCTCCTCCTCTCGCCGCTCTCACGGGCGGCACCAAGGGACCCTCCCCAGGTGTGTGACAGCAGGCGACTGCCAGCGTAAGTGGTAACGTCAGGTGTGCTAAGGTACGGTACTGTCCTTGGTGCCCGCCCTGCAGCTGCCACCGCCGCCGCCGCTGCCACCGCCACTCACGCCACTCACGCCACATACGCACTCTCACTGCTTGCGTCCTTCCAATTTTCCTTGCTTGCATGCTTTCCGTTTTTCTGTTCTCTGACTTGCTAACGCCGTTCTAATCGCCTTCCCTCTCACCTCCCTTCTCTGCTCCGTGCACTTGTTCCCCTCTTCGCCTCTCCTCCTGCCAGCTTCCCTCTGCCTACACCCCTCTGCCAGCACACCTACAGGCCGGCAGCAGCAGAAGGCATGGAGGAGCAGTGGGAGCAGCGTGGCGAGCGGGAGAGGCGAGTGGTGGGATGACGCACGGCCTGGGCTGGCCCTGCTGACCACTGCGCTCGCCCAACCTCCCGGCAGCACCAGCGCGACCGACCGTGGCGTCTCTGAGTGGCGCTGCGGCAGCAGGGGGAGTGTGGCGGCAAGGAGAGGCGCATGGCCGTGTGGGTGCTGCACGCAAGCAAGGGGAGCACGCCTGCATGCTCCTTCGACCCTCTTCAATCCGGCTAAGCTATCTCACTCAATTCGCACTCTGCACGCACCACTCACTCGCTCGCACTCGTGCCTTGCGCTGCTTGCTTGCGCTCGCTCCCTCCTCCTCCTCTCGCCGCTCTCACGGGCGGCACCAAGGGACCCTCCCCAGGTGTGTGACAGCAGGCGACTGCCAGCGTAAGTGGTAACGTCAGGTGTGCTAAGGTACGGTACTGTCCTTGGTGCCCGCCCTGCAGCTGCCACCGCCGCCGCCGCTGCCACCGCCGCCGCCGCTGCCATCGCCGCCGCCGCTGCCACCGCCACTCACGCCACTCACGCACCCTCACTGCTTGCATTCTTTGTTTTTCCTTCCTCGCATGCTTTCCGGTTTCCGTTCTGTCACTTGCGTACGCCATGCTAATCGCCTTCCCTCTCACCTCCCTTCTCTGCTCCGTGCACTTGTTCCCCTCTTCGCCTCTCCTCCTGCCAGCTTCCCTCTGCCTACACCCCTCTGCCAGCACACCTACAGGCCGGCAGCAGCAGAAGGCATGGAGGAGCAGTGGGAGCAGCGTGGCGAGCGGGAGAGGCGAGTGGTGGGATGACGCACGGCCTGGGCTGGCCCTGCTGACCACTGCGCTCGCCCAACCTCCCGGCAGCACCAGCGCGACCGACCGTGGCGTCTCTGAGTGGCGCTGCGGCAGCAGGGGGAGTGTGGCGGCAAGGAGAGGCGCATGGCCGTGTGGGTGCTGCACGCAAGCAAGGGGAGCACGCCTGCATGCTCCTTCGACCCTCTTCAATCCGGCTAAGCTATCTCACTCAATTCGCACTGTGCACGCACCACTCACTCACTCGCTCGCGCTCGTGCCTTGCGCTGCTTGCTTGCGCTCGCTCCCTCCTCCTCCTCTCGCCGCTCTCACGGGCGGCACCAAGGGACCCTCCCCAGGTGTGTGACAGCAGGCGACTGCCAGCGTAAGTGGTAACGTCAGGTGTGCTAAGGTACGGTACTGTCCTTGGTGCCCGCCCTGCAGCTGCCACCGCCACCGCCGCTGCCACCGCCACTCACGCCACTCACGCCACGCACGCACCTTCACTGCTTGCATCCTTCCATTTTTCCTTCTTGCATGCTTTCCGGTTTTATGTTCTCTGACTTGCTAACGCCGTTCTAATCGCCTTCCCTCTCACCTCCCTTCTCTGCTCCGTGCACTTGTTCCCCTCTTCGCCTCTCCTCCTGCCAGCTTCCCTCTGCCTACACCCCTCTGCCAGCACACCTACAGGCCGGCAGCAGCAGAAGGCATGGAGGAGCAGTGGGAGCAGCGTGGCGAGCGGGAGAGGCGAGTGGTGGGATGACGCACGGCCTGGGCTGGCCCTGCTGACCACTGCGCTCGCCCAACCTCCCGGCAGCACCAGCGCGACCGACCGTGGCGTCTCTGAGTGGCGCTGCGGCAGCAGGGGGAGTGTGGCGGCAAGGAGAGGCGCATGGCCGTGTGGGTGCTGCACGCAAGCAAGGGGAGCACGCCTGCATGCTCCTTCGACCCTCTTCAATCCGGCTAAGCTATCTCACTCAATTCGCACTCTGCACGCACCACTCACTCGCTCGCACTCGTGCCTTGCGCTGCTTGCTTGCGCTCGCTCCCTCCTCCTCCTCTCGCCGCTCTCACGGGCGGCACCAAGGGACCCTCCCCAGGTGTGTGACAGCAGGCGACTGCCAGCGTAAGTGGTAACGTCAGGTGTGCTAAGGTACGGTACTGTCCTTGGTGCCCGCCCTGCAGCTGCCACCGCCGCCGCCGCTGCCACCGCCACTCACGCCACTCACGCCACATACGCACTCTCACTGCTTGCGTCCTTCCAATTTTCCTTGCTTGCATGCTTTCCGTTTTTCTGTTCTCTGACTTGCTAACGCCGTTCTAATCGCCTTCCCTCTCACCTCCCTTCTCTGCTCCGTGCACTTGTTCCCCTCTTCGCCTCTCCTCCTGCCAGCTTCCCTCTGCCTACACCCCTCTGCCAGCACACCTACAGGCCGGCAGCAGCAGAAGGCATGGAGGAGCAGTGGGAGCAGCGTGGCGAGCGGGAGAGGCGAGTGGTGGGATGACGCACGGCCTGGGCTGGCCCTGCTGACCACTGCGCTCGCCCAACCTCCCGGCAGCACCAGCGCGACCGACCGTGGCGTCTCTGAGTGGCGCTGCGGCAGCAGGGGGAGTGTGGCGGCAAGGAGAGGCGCATGGCCGTGTGGGTGCTGCACGCAAGCAAGGGGAGCACGCCTGCATGCTCCTTCGACCCTCTTCAATCCGGCTAAGCTATCTCACTCAATTCGCACTGTGCACGCACCACTCACTCACTCGCTCGCGCTCGTGCCTTGCGCTGCTTGCTTGCGCTCGCTCCCTCCTCCTCCTCTCGCCGCTCTCACGGGCGGCACCAAGGGACCCTCCCCAGGTGTGTGACAGCAGGCGACTGCCAGCGTAAGTGGTAACGTCAGGTGTGCTAAGGTACGGTACTGTCCTTGGTGCCCGCCCTGCAGCTGCCACCGCCACCGCCGCTGCCACCGCCACTCACGCCACTCACGCCACGCACGCACCTTCACTGCTTGCATCCTTCCATTTTTCCTTCTTGCACGCTTTCCGGTTTTATGTTCTCTGACTTGCTAACGCCGTTCTAATCGCCTTCCCTCTCACCTCCCTTCTCTGCTCCGTGCACTTGTTCCCCTCTTCTCCTCTCCTCCTGCCAGCATCCCTCTGCCTACACCCCTCTGCCAGCACACCTACAGGCCGGCAGCAGCAGAAGGCATGGAGGAGCAGTGGGAGCAGCGTGGCGAGCGGGAGAGGCGAGTGGTGGGATGACGCACGGCCTGGGCTGGCCCTGCTGACCACTGCGCTCGCCCAACCTCCCGGCAGCACCAGCGCGACCGACCGGGGCGTCTCTGAGTGGCGCTGCGGCAGCAGGGGGAGTGTGGCGGCAAGGAGAGGCGCATGGCCGTGTGGGTGCTGCACGCATGCAAGGGGAGCACGCCTGCATGCTCCTTCGACCCTCTTCAATCCGGCTCAGCTATCTCACTCAATTCGCACTGTGCACGCACCACTCGCTCGCTCGCACTCGTGCCTTGCGCTGGTTGCTTGCGCTCGCTCCCTCCTCCTCCTCTCGCCGCTCTTACGGGCGGCACCAAGGGACCCTCCCCAGGTGTGTGACAGCAGGCGACTGCCAGCGTAAGTGGTAACGTCAGGTGTGCTAAGGTACGGTACTGTCCTTGGTGCCCGCCCTGCAGCTGCCACCGCCGCCGCCGCTGCCACCGCCACTCACGCCACTCACGCCACGCACGCACCTTCACTGCTTGCATCCTTCCATTTTTCCTTCTTGCACGCTTTCCGGTTTTCCGTTCTCTGACTTGCTAATGCCGTTCTAATCGCCTTCCCTCTCACCTCCCTTCTCTGCTCCGTGCACTTGTTCCCCTCTTCGCCTCTCCTCCTGCCAGCTTCCCTCTGCCTACACCCCTCTGCCAGCACACCTACAGGGCGGCAGCAGCAGAAGGCATGGAGGAGCAGTGGGAGCAGCGTGGCGAGCGGGAGAGGCGAGTGGTGGGATGACGCACGGCCTGGGCTGGCCCTGCTGACCACTGCGCTCGCCCAACCTGCCCTCGGCCAAGACAGCATTGAATGAAGAATCGAGTAAGTAACAGGAGCAATGCAGTCCCGCTTTTCCCCCTCGCACTCTTCACATTTCATTCTGTCACTTTGCTCACTCCACTTGTAACCTCCACTCTGACTGACATTCCCTGTGGGATTGCAACTCTCTGGTCGCTGTGCAGAAAATGTTAAGGCGTCACTGGGAAGGCGTGTCTGCAGCGACAGGAGTAGGAGGAGAGCCGTGGGTGAGTGGCGCTGCGGCAGCGGGGGATGTGGCACCAGCGGGAGAGTGACGGCTTGCAGAGAGCCACGCCATGCTTGGGCCACCTGGTGAGTTGCCCTCCACTGCTCTTCATCTTCTCTACCAAGCTTGCCTCGTCCTTGTCTTGTCCTTGCAATGTTTCATTATCTTCTGCCCTTCTTCCTTCGTTCCTCTCCCCTTTCTCCCCTTTTTTTGTCTCTGCAGGGAGCATAGGCATCTGTTGTTTCGCTTGCTGCTAAAAGAAGAAGCAATGAGGAAGGAGGAGGCAAGGAGACATGGTGGCAAGGAGGCAAGGAGGCAAGGAGCGAGTGGTTTCTCTCTTGGGCTGCTGAGAGCACTGCCATGAGACGTGACACCCTGCTATGACAAGGAGGCTGAGGCAAGACGTGACACCCTGCTATGGAAAGGAGGCTCTGGCAGACGGCATAGAGGAGGCTGCTGCACCTGGGGGCGGCAGAGAGGAGGCTTCTGGGCTTCCCGGCCCAACCTTGCCTTACCTACCTTGCCTTACCTACCTTGCCAAACTTGCCTCACTCTTTCTTGACTGTCTGTCCGCCTTCACCCCTACTGCCCTGACCCTTGCTGCCTTTGCCGTTGCTGCCTTCACCATTACTGCTTGACCGTTACTGCCTTGACCCTTTGTGCCCTTACAATGCATGCTCGATCCTTTCGCTCACTCACCCCTCATCTCTCCTGTCCACCCGTCCCATCCATCTGCTCCCACAGGCTCTTGTGCTCGTGAGGAGGTAGGAAGCGCACCGACGCAGCAAACTGGCCGCCCCAGCAGCAGCAAGGCGGAGTGTGCCTGCCCTCCCCACCCCAGCAGCAGCAAGGCGGAGTGTGCCTGCCCTCCCCACGCCAGCAGCAGCAAGGCGGAGTGTGCCTGCCCTCCCCACACCAGCAGCAGCAAGGCGGAGTGTGCCTGCCCTCCCACACCAGCAGCAGCAGAGGTGAGCGGGAGCTGGGGAGCAGTGGAGGGGGTAGGGAGTGGAGCAGAGGAAGGGGTGTGGAGGTGAGTCGACCCAGTCACTCCTGACATTCCTCTCCGTGCCCAGCCTGATCAGTTTCCTGTTTGACACTCACACTTGCAAAATCTTTGGCTCAAAACAAAATCCTTTTTATTTCCTTTGGCTCGTGGCAGGTCGAGGGGCAGAGGAAGTATGGAAGTGGGGGAGGAGGGGAGCATGCCGCGGAAGCAGAGGCAGAGGCGAGCAGCAGCAGGGGAGCAGTGGAGGGGAGAAGAGGGAGTAGACCAGAGAAAGCTGTGTGGAGGTGTCATTCAATCCTTTTCCTCCTTGCTCTTCGTTCTCCTTGGCTCATGGCAGGTCGGAGCAGGGGAGGGCAAGCAGAGGCGGGCTAGCAGAGGAGGGCAAGCAGACGAGGGCTAGCAGGCGAGGGCTAGCAAAGGAGGGCAAGCAGACGAGGGCTAGCAGGCGAGGGCTAGCAGAGGAGGGCAAGCAGACGAGGGCTAGCAGAGGAGGGGAGCAGAGGAGGGCAGCAGAGGAGGGCAGCAGAGGTGAGTCGAGCCCACGTGGCATTCCTCTCTGTGCCCTGCCTGACCAGCCCTGCTTTCCTGTTCAACATGAGACCATGTCATTCAATCCTTTTCCTCCTTGCTCTTCGTTCTCCTTGGCCCATGGCAGGTCGGAGCAGAGGTGGGGAGAGTAGGAGTGGAGCAGAGGAGGGGAGCGGAGGAGGGGAGCAGGGAAGGGGAGAAGACGTGGGTAGAAGAGGAGGTGGCGAGCAGAGGATGGCAAGCAGAGGAAGGAGCGTGGAGGTGAGTGGAGCCCACCTGGCATTCCTTGCTGCGCCATCAAAAATCTGGTGAGATCCGAGCCATCATAGGATCCTCCTCTCCCAGGCTCCTCATAATCGAATTCTGTTCCTCTCTCCTTGGCTTGTGGAGCAGAAGCAGAGGGGGTTAGCTGAAGCAGAGGAAGCAGCAGCAGAGGGGACAGCGAAGCAGAGGGGGTTAGCTGAAGCAGAGGGAACAGAAGGGGAGATAAAATGGGGGCTAAAAAGCAGAGGGTGGGAAACCTGAGCGCCCAGGTTCCCCACCCTTCAATATGTTCTAACCGCCCAGGTTTCCCACTCAGAGGGTGGGAGACCTGGGCGCCTATCAATGTGTTCCCGATGAATATAGCCATTTATCACGGCTATATCCGTTTCCTGCCATTATAATGGCAGTATTTCCTATGAAAATTACTCTCTTTCTATTCCCCTTAGGGAACTACTCTGATGATGCTTCTCATGATGTGGTAATCTGTGGGCGTAGAAACAGCTTGGCAGCAGTACAGGGGTGTTAGCACATGCGTTGTGCCTTCTTCCCTGGACAACCGAAGCAGTTCCCTGTGGCAGTCAAGGCAGGAGGATGAAGACCACATTCGCTAGAGCTGAACCGGTTACATGGGCTACACTGGATTTCAGGGACAGCAACTGCACGGACTCTAACTATAGGGACACTAACTGCAGGGACACTAGATACAGAGACGCTAACTTCAGGGACACTAGATACAAGGACGCTAACTGCAGAGACGCTAACTTCAATATGTTTTACCCGCCCAAGTTTCCCACTCAGAGGGTGGGAGACCTGGGCGCCTATCAATGTGTTCCCGAGGAATATAGCCATTGTCACGGCTATATCCCTTTCTAGCCATTGTCACGGCTATATCCCTTTCTAGCCATTATAATGGCAGTATTTCCTTTGAAAATTACTCTCTTTCTATTCCCCTTGGGAACTACTCGGATTATGCTTCTCATGATGTGATAATCTGTGGGCGTAGAAACAGCTTGGCAGCAGTACTGGGGTGTTAGCACATGCGTTGTGCCTTCTTCCCTGGACAACCGAAGCAGTTCCCTGTGGCAGTCAAGGCAGGAGGATGAAGACCACATTCGCTAGAGCTGAAGCGGTTACATGGGCTATACTGGATTTCAGGGACAGCAGCTGCAGGGACGCTAACTATAGGGACACTAACTGCAGGGACACTAGATACAGGGGCGCTAACTGCAGGGACACTAGATACAGGGACGCTAACTGCAGGGACGCTAACTTCAATATGTTCTACCCGCCCAGGTTTCCCACTCAGGGCTCGTGCACCAAGGCACACTAACTACAGGGACAGCAACTGCAGGGACAGCAACTGCAGGGACGTTAAGTGCAGGGACGATAATTACAGGGACATAGAAACGCTAACTACATGGTCGCTCAGTACAGGGCTTGTGTACCAAGGCATGCTAACCACAGGGACACTAACTACAGGGCGTGTGTTCAAGGCACTCTAATTACAGGGATGCTAACTACAGGGTTAAGTACAGTGCGTGTGTACCAACGCAAGCTAACTACGGGTTCCCCTCAGGGAACTACCCTTCTTTTTCGGCCGTTGGGCCAGGTGTTACACCACCTGGTCTGAGCATGGCTTGTGAGACGCCTCAGCCCTGCTCGTGCTGCGGGGCTGCGAACGTGGACGGCAGCTACGGCAGAGCGAGCAGAGGGTGCAGCGAAGCAGAGGGGGTAGCTGCTTGTGTTGCGGGGCTGAAAACGTGGACGGTAGCTACGGTGGTGGGTATCTCGTAAGCCGCTGCTCTCTGTTTTTGTTTTGTTAACTACCCCCCGTTGTTCCCATGCAGGTCCCACACGAAGGGTCCCCACCTCAACGTGGTGTGTGGGTGTAACACTAGGGGTTAACCCCCCTAGTGGCCAAGAGGGGCCCAGAAGACCCAAGACCCTGGCGCACTTCATAATTGCTTATGAAGCAGAGAAGGCCAGGCCAGCTGAAGCAGAGGGGGTTAGTTGAAGCAGAGGAAGCAGCGAAGAAGAGGGGGCTAGGTGTGCACAGGAGGTTAGCTGAAGCAGGAAGCAGCGAAGCAGATGGGATTAGCTGAAGCAGAGGGAGCAGAAGGCGTGATAAAAAAGAAGGGCTAAAATGCAAAGGGTGGGAAACATGGGCGCCCAGGTTCCCCACCCTTCCATATGTTCTACCCGCCCAGGTTTCCCACTTAGAGGGTGGGAGACCTGGGCACCCATCTATGTGTTCCCGAGGAATACAGCCATAATCACGGCTATATGCCTTTCCTGCTGCTAACACAACGCATGTGTTAGCACATGCACCATGACTAACTTCACACTAACTACAGGGACCCTAGATACAGGGACACTAACTACAGGGACCCTAGATACAGGGACGCTAACTACAGGGACCCTAGATACAGGGACACTAACTGCAGGGACCCTAGATACAGGGACGCTAACTACAGGGACCCTAGATACAGGGACACTAATTACAGGGACCCTAGATACAGGGACGCTAACTGCAGGGACCCTAGATACAGGGACGCTAACTACAGGGACCCTAGATACAAGGACACTAATTACAGGGACCCTAGATACAGGGACACTAACTACAGGGACCCTAGATACAGGGACACTAACTACAGGGACCCTAGATACAGGGACGCTAACTGCAGGGACCCTAGATACAGGGACGCTAACTGCAGGGACCCTAGATACAGGGACGCTAACTGCAGGGACCGTAGATACAGGGACACTAACTACAGGGACGCTAACTACAGGGACGCTAGCTGCAGGGACCCGAGATACAGGGACGCTTGTTTTCCCTGGCGATGGCGACGGGCCTCCACCTCACAGCGGCAGCAGGAGTGCCGGTGAGTGCATGTTGGCCGCAGGGTGAGTGCACGAGAGGCATAAGCGCTCGTGCGATGCTGCAGTGCCTTCAATGCTGCATTGCCTTCAAGAGGAGCCAAGAGGAGGGACAGCAATGCCCTTCACGCATGGTACGAGCTGTCGTGCTTTTCCGTTTTTTTCTCTAATCATGTGTTTGTTGTTGCCTTGGTGTGGCTGAAGATAAGAGCGCCAGGAGGAGACTGCAGCACCCTTCACGCATGGTACGCTGCTCTCGTGCTTTACATGTATCTGTCGTGCTTGTTTCACTTGATCCTTTTTTCCTGTTTGTCTCTCTACCCCCCCCCCCCTTCCATTCCCTTCAAGTCGACTCGTGGGGCGAGGAGGGCGAGGGGGCAGCGCGCGGGGGGCAGCAAGAGGCGTCCCTATGCATAATCCCCCCCTTCCATTCCCTTCAGCATGGCGGGCAGCGTGGAGACGACACGGCGGCCGGCACGGATGGAGGTGAGGTGCTGCTTCATCGCTGCAGCGAGGTAACCTTCTTCCCTTGTCCGTTTCCGCATTGCTTTCTTTCAGTTTTTCGCATTACATGTATTTGTCGTGCTTGTTTCACTTGATCCTTTTTTTCCTGTTTGTCTCTCTACCCCCCCCCCCCCCTTCCATTCCCTTCAAGTCGACTCGTGGGGCGAGGAGGGCGAGGGGGCAGCGCGCGGGGGGCAGCAAGAGGCGTCCCTATGCATAATCCCCCCCTTCCATTCCCTTCAGCTTGGCGGGCAGCGTGGAGACGACACGGCGGCCGGCACGGACGGAGGTGAGGTGATGTTTCATCGCTGCAGCGAGGTAACCTTCTTCCCTTGTCCGTTTTGTCTTGCTTTCTGTCTCATATTTGTCTTGCTTTCTTTCTGTTTTTCGCGTTACATGTCTTCGTCGTGCCTGTTTCACTTGATCGTGTGTTGTGTTTGTCTTGTGTTGTGTGTCGCTCTGCAGCTGGCAGGGTCCAAGACCGAAGACCGCCTCCGACTGCGGCATAGGTGTTGTGCGGCAGGGGTTGCTGACGGCGTTGGGACGGACGCCTCCCGCGCCTGAAGCGCCCCTGTGTGTGAGTTGAGTGCGCTGACGAGGGATGGGGGGACGCTCCCTGAACTCTGATGGCCTCCTCACCCCGCCTTCGCCTGGCCAGGTGTTACGCCACCTGGTCTGAGTTGGGCTGTGGGACGCTGCAGCCCGGCTCGTGTCGCTTAGGGGCTGCGGACCCACACGAAGGGTCCCCACCTCAGCGTGGTGTGTGGGTGTAACACTAGGGGTTAACCCCCCTAGTGGCCAAGAGGGGCCCAGAAGACCCAAGACCGTGGCGCTCTCTATTACTGCCCGAATGATTCTAGATCTATATAATTGCCTAAATAGTGATAGACCTGGTTACGTTATCAATTAGACAAGTAGGTCTCAGCATGGACGATTGAAAATAGGTAGCCTAACATGCACCCGGGAAGCATATGGTGCAGTGTTGCAGATGAACAGGATGAAGGACCTCTAACATTACAGTATAGGGGGACCTTTCAAATTCAGTACATTATTTCATAATGTACAGGTCCTACTGTAGATATGCTGTTGCAGTTCATCATAACTTACAGGTGCTAGGGTACAGTTCCTGATAGGATATGCAGATTGAAACAGATACAATTGACAAAGTGGCAGGTAGTGTAGTCACAAGAAAGCACTCCCCAGTTTTGTCGCCTTTGCAACACATCACTCGATACTACTGTCTACATTTTGTCCAACGGCTCTCAAAGGCCCCCCCTTGACTGCCATGCTGCGCTCATTAGTGCTCTCTACGGCCTGACCCCGAGAGGCAAGAGAGCGAATCCCTCAACAGCATAACTCCCAACATGGAAGAGTGGGGGTGGGGTGGGGCTCCCCTAAGCAAGACTGCAGCTGCGCACCCCTCGGCCTTGATTGTTCCTCCCAATACCGGCCTACGGCCGTCTTCCACCCCCTCCTCCTCCCCCTCCCCCTCCCCCACGCCGTGCTGCTCCCCCTCCCCCAGCACCTCCCCCTTGAGCAGCGGGGGGAGCATCGGGGCCAGCGAGGGCCGTGAAGACGTTGAGCACAAGCAGACCCCCCGCCATGATGAACACCCACTGGGGTCAGGGACAGGTGGGGGAGAGCAGAAGAGACATGAAGCAGCAGATTTGAGTGAGCCACTAGCAAGGGCAGTGAGGACGTTGAGTACAAGCAGACCCCCCCGCCATGATGAACACCCACTGGTGATATGGGCACAGGGAGGAGAGACGAGAGGTGATGAGGGAGAGAGTGATAATGGGTTGAGCTGGAGAGGCGCCACTAAGCAGAGAAGACAGTGAGGACGTTGAGCACGAGGAGACCCCCCGCCATGATGAACACCCACTGGTGATATGGGCACAGGGTATGGAGGAAGATAGGTCATGGGTGGGGAAAATGTATACAATATAGGTGAGTGACCAGCGAGAGCCGTGAGAACGTTGAGCACGAGCAGACCCCCCACCATGATGAACACGCACTGGTGATGTCTAAGAGAGAGGAGAAGAGAGACAGGCGTCACGACGTGAGCAAGGGGTATGGGGGCCAGCGAGGCCGTGAGGACGTTGAGAACGAGCAAGGCCCCCGCCATGAGGACGAGGGCCGTGAGGACGAGCAGACCGCCTGCCATGATGAACACCCCCTGATGCCACACACCCATGTGCCATGCGCCCATCACACCCATCCGAATATGCCCACCCAATCGCGCCCATGACAGCCCCATCCCAACCCCACCTCACTGCACCCCACCCCCCTGCGCCTCACATATTTCTGCCAGAACGTCTTGGGCGGCACTGGGGGAGCCATGGGGTCCTCCTCTCCGCCCACGCCCCCCCCTGCTGCTCCCCCTGCGCCCACCGCCGCTCCCCCCACTGGGGCCCTGCGCACAGGCAGGCTGCCGAGGGGGACACGAGTGAAGAGGGAGAGAAAGGAAGGGGGTTAGGGTTAGGACTAGGATTAGGGTCAGATTAAGGCTAGGGCTAGGAGTGCCCTGCCTTCCACTGGGGCTCTGCGCACAGGCAAGCTGCAGAGAATGACACGAGGGAGGGGGAACACATGGGTTCGGGTGGGGGTTGGGGACTGGGGTTGGCAATGTGTGTTAAGCAATGGCGCTGGCATGGATGCATAGGGACAAGCGGGCATAGGAGCATGGGGCACTGGGAGAATGGGCACTGGGAGAATGGGCACTGGGAGAATGGGCACTGGGAGAATGGGCACTGGGAGAATGGGCGCACCGTTGGGCAATTGTGCTGGCATGGATGGTGACGTCAGAGTTGAGTACGATGAGAGGCACCGCCATCACCGCCTGGTGGGGTGGTGCATGGCATGTGATGACATAGGATTGGTTGAGATGGATGGGATGGGTTCAGATGAATCTGCGTGCAATAACACACCGGCTCATGGTGAGGCATGTGGGGCACGTGTTGAGGGAGCATGTGGTGAGGCATGTGGGGCATGTGTTGAGGGAGCATGTGGTGAGGCATGTGGGGCATGTGTTGAGGGAGCATGTGGTGAGGCATGTGGGGCATGTGTTGAGGGAGCATGTGGTGAGGCATGTGGGGCATGTGTTGAGGGAGCATGTGGTGAGGCATGTGGGGCATGTGTTGAGGGAGCATGCGGTGAGGCATGTGGGGCATGTGTTGAGGGAGCATGCGAGATGTGGTGCGGTCACAAGGCACAAGACGCGTCACGTCATTGCTGCAAGGAGAAATCAGACACCTTTCCACCATTTGCTATCACTTGTAAGTACTTGTGGCACTCAATCTCACAACAATAGTGAGCACCGGGCAATTCCCCAATGAGCATTAACCCTCACATCAACATCGCCTCTCACATCAACATCGAGAGCAGCAGTGGCGGCTGGAGTGCAGCCAGCTTGTGGTTTCACGTGGGCTGATATCAGCCTGCCACCCGCATCCTGCAACAATAGCAGGGAATGGGGAATATGAGCGCAAGGTGAATCCAGTGCTTTCACGAGGCAGCCTGCGATTCGCATCCTACACATGCAAGTAGGAGCGATGGTGGCAGCACATGGGAGTGGCGACGAGGAGGCGATAGCAACGTGTGGGAAAATACATGCGGTTTTGGGGAATGTGAGTGCAGGATGAATGAGACCCTGAAAGGCTGGAATGATGACATGCTGACATGACGGCATGCTGACGTGATGACATGCTGACATGACGGCATGCTGACGTGATGACATGCTGACATGACGGCATGCTGACGTGATGACATGCTGACATGACGGCATGCTGACGTGATGACATGCTGACATGACGGCATGCTGACGTGATGACATGCTGACATGACGGCATGCTGACGTGATGACATGCTGACATGACGGCATGCTGACGTGATGACATGCTGACATGACGGCATGCTGACGTGATGACATGCTGACATGACGGCATGCTGACGTGATGACATGCTGACATGACGGCATGCTGACGTGATGACATGCTGACATGACGGCATGCTGACGTGATGACATGCTGACATGACGGCATGCTGACGTGATGACATGCTGACATGACGGCATGCTGACGTGATGACATGCTGACATGACGGCATGCTGACGTGATGACATGCTGACATGACGGCATGCTGACGTGATGACATGCTGACATGACGGCATGCTGACGTGATGACATGCTGACATGACGGCATGCTGACGTGATGACATGCTGACATGACGGCATGCTGACGTGATGACATGCTGACATGACGGCATGCTGACGTGATGACATGCTGACATGACGGCATGCTGACGTGATGACATGCTGACATGACGGCATGCTGACGTGATGACATGCTGACATGACGGCATGCTGACGTGATGACATGCTGACATGACGGCATGCTGACGTGATGACATGCTGACATGACGGCATGCTGACGTGATGACATGCTGACATGACGGCATGCTGACGTGATGACATGCTGACATGACGGCATGCTGACGTGATGACATGCTGACATGACGGCATGCTGACGTGATGACATGCTGACATGACGGCATGCTGACGTGATGACATGCTGACATGACGGCATGCTGACGTGATGACATGCTGACATGACGGCATGCTGACGTGATGACATGCTGACATGACGGCATGCTGACGTGATGACATGCTGACATGACGGCATGCTGACGTGATGACATGCTGACATGACGGCATGCTGACGTGATGACATGCTGACATGACGGCATGCTGACGTGATGACATGCTGACATGACGGCATGCTGACGTGATGACATGCTGACATGACGGCATGCTGACGTGATGACATGCTGACATGACGGCATGCTGACGTGATGACATGCTGACATGACGGCATGCTGACGTGATGACATGCTGACATGACGGCATGCTGACGTGATGACATGCTGACATGACGGCATGCTGACGTGATGACATGCTGACATGACGGCATGCTGACGTGATGACATGCTGACATGACGGCATGCTGACGTGATGACATGCTGACATGACGGCATGCTGACGTGATGACATGCTGACATGACGGCATGCTGACGTGATGACATGCTGACATGACGGCATGCTGACGTGATGACATGCTGACATGACGGCATGCTGACGTGATGACATGCTGACATGACGGCATGCTGACGTGATGACATGCTGACATGACGGCATGCTGACGTGATGACATGCTGACATGACGGCATGCTGACGTGATGACATGCTGACATGACGGCATGCTGACGTGATGACATGCTGACATGACGGCATGCTGACGTGATGACATGCTGACATGACGGCATGCTGACGTGATGACATGCTGACATGACGGCATGCTGACGTGATGACATGCTGACATGACGGCATGCTGACGTGATGACATGCTGACATGACGGCATGCTGACGTGATGACATGCTGACATGACGGCATGCTGACGTGATGACATGCTGACATGACGGCATGCTGACGTGATGACATGCTGACATGACGGCATGCTGACGTGATGACATGCTGACATGACGGCATGCTGACGTGATGACATGCTG